TGACATGTCGTGTTCCAAACTATAAACTGTACCCTGAGATATTATTTTCTAGCAGAAATCTTATCTAATTTGTTCTTGAAACAAATGACATTTTCTGCTTCCACTGTCTCCCTAGGAAGCCTGTTCCATAGGTTTACTACTCTCACCAAAGTAATGTGTCCGCAGATTTTGAATTTACCCCACTTCAGTTGCAGGCCGTGTCCTCTGGTTTTGCTGTTCAGTACAAGATAAAACAACTCATCATGGTCTACATTATCTATTCCCTTCAGAATCTTAAAGACTATAATCATATCACCCCTCGACCTTCTCTTCTCCAGTGTGAACAAGTCCAGTTTATCTAATCGCTCTTCGTTGTCCAGTCCCTCCATCCCCTTAATCATTTTGGTTGCCCTCCTCTGTATCCTCTCAATCACTGCAATATCCTTTTTTATATTGCAGTGACCAGAACTGCACATAGTATTCCAAGTGCGGGCACAAAGTGATTTGTAAAGTGGCAGTTTATACGACTTATAAAAGTTTGCCTGCAACTCAAGACTTCGCCTCAGTCACATTAAATGTTATGATTCTGACTGATACGACTTGTGAGTTTTACTGTCGTGACTGTTGCAGGAGGAAAGGTTCACACTCAGGAATCTGGAGCTGATGCAGGCTTAGCCTATAGGACCATCATATAATAATACTATTACTAATCATGCCTATCACATCTTCGAGACGTCTCAAAGCAGTTCACAGAATATACTGCAAAGTGAATTGACTATATATTTTGTGGGAGAAACGCGGCAGTCAATTGCGCACAGCAGTGTCCCACAAACAGTCATGGATTGAGTGACCAAATTACTATTATTTTAACATTTATTTTTGAAGGCATTATTGCTCCTGGAAAAGCGATCTGACAATCGATTAACAACCGGGTTCCTACTTACTGCTAGGTAAACAGAGGTGTGTAGAGTAAGGAAACTTGCCCAACATTTCACCCTTCCGGGAATCAAACCCAGGTTCTCTCGCTTTCGAGGCGAGTGCTCTAACCACTCTAAGCTCTAAACTACAGGACCATGTGCTCAAATCCAGGACTCGCAAAGTATGGAAAAGTCTTCCATTGGAAGCAATTTACCAGTTGTTAAAAAGAACCAGCTTCTAAACGAAGGCTGAATTAAGAATTTTCCAGTTCTGAATAATTTTAAATTTTATGGCCAAACTGTCTTCACTGAGCCTGTGCCTTGGGGAGCTGCTGACTCTGCAGTCGTGCCCTCTGGAAAGCTAGTGGGAACGTACCAATTAAACTGAGCTTTGATGTCCTCCCAGGGTTTAATCGCTTGTTGACTGGCCTAGTAACATGAGGATTGGCCACTGATGTTAAGCGGATCTCAGTGGACGTGAAAGAGGGGAGGAAGATGAAAACAAGGTGAACGGATAGTTTTCTAAAATAGTTTGCAAAGTGGGGTTGTGGGAGGGGATGGGGGAGAGGAACACATTTACTTTTAAAATACAGAGACAATGTTCCTTGGTTGCATGAAATCCAAACCAAACTAAAAAGTACGAACCCGATCGTTAGTCGATTGGTGGATCACTTTCCAAGGAATAATCCCTTAAAAAAAAATCTATTTGCGGGACCCTGCTGTGCACAATTTGCTGCCGTGTTTCGCCTACACAATATCAGTTCACTTTACAGTATAATCTGTTAAGCGCTTTGAGACCGCTAGAAGACGTGATAAGGCACTATATCAAATGCAAGGATTATTATTATTTATCATAAATTGGAAACCACAGACAAGCCCTTAGTAAAAAAATAGTGTGTTACAATGTTGGAACAATTACCTCCAATTTCATATCCTGTTTAAATCAATAATAAAGCACTAAAACTGATTAAGCTGAGTCTTAAGGTGCCAGTAAAGTAGACACAAATTATTAGGTACACTGCGTGTGATTGCTGCCCCACAATGTAAAACATGCAGATCAGCCCCACTAATTCAGTGGTTCCACTGGCAGCGAAAGGCAGTCCCTGAACACGGGAGTCTGGGCGATATGCAGGGAGACCACTCTCATTTATAATCTTCTGCCCATACTTTATGGCTTTCTTAATTCAGCTTCTGCTACTATTAATGTACTTAGCGTCGAGATTATATCTATATTTTTGAAGTCGGGCAGTGATTTATATGTCCCATTTTTCCGGTCCCAGTTCCCTCGCTTCTAAATCAAGTATCTTACCAATTAAGTGCTGACTACTCCAGTGTATGGCAAGAGAAGAGCGAGTTAACCACAAATTAAACCACTGCCTATTACATCTCCAGCTTATTATAGGCACAGTTCGCCTGCTCTTTTTTATATCAATCTTTCTTTTCTTTTCCTCACCTCGCTGAAATGGTGAGGGGGGGAACGGGGGGAAACCTGCACCAAAGGGAAATTGGTATTTATTAGAACGTGCAGAAATCATGAAAAACACTTTATTTTAAAACGAGTCAGAAAGTGATGGGTTTCAATGTGCAGTGATATTTTATGGTTTTAATTGAAAAGTCCAGCCTAATCAATATTTACTGCCTTCCCACACGATGGATAGCCAGTCACTGAGCTGTCAGCTCTCTCCTGCGAAAATTATATACACTTACCATCCACAGAAATTCAAAACCAGAGAAGCTCACAGCAACATCTGGGGTTAATCTGTGGGATTTCACCGTAAGGACTGTGAATGGTGTAAATGGAGCTCCTTCTGGGAGCCATCTGTGCTTTCCATTGGGCTGTGGGAATCTTGCTCGAATGTGATCTACGTCCTGAGCGGAGATGCCACAGGTCAATAAGAATTCCGAAAAGATTCCTTATGAAAGAATTTGGTTAAGAAATACCACAAAATACCCCATTATCAAATCTCCCTATCTGCATTTCTCTCTCCTCAAACAACGACTGGGGAATTGTTGGCCCAGACACTGAGAGAGGGTGAGAATCTCCCTTCTCTTTTTCAATAGCACCACGGGATGTGTAACAGCCACCTGAACAGGCAAACTGTACCTTTGTATAATGTCTCATCCAAAGGATGGTGCCTCTGACAATGCAGCCCTTCCCCAGAACTGAATTGTTGTGTCAGTCTGATCTGTGAGCTCAAAGTCCGAATTGAGGCTTGAATCCATGAGGCAAGAGTGGTACAAACTGAGCCAGACTGGAACGCAATTTCAGGACACGGGGCTTTTACACAAAGAATAGTGGAAAATCACCCTGAAAAATTCAATAGAATTTTGTGTGTAATCTACTCAAAACACATCCTAATTTAAAAAAAAAAATCTTTTATGGCCAAGTCCAGTTCAGATAGACTCGAGGAGCAGTGAAGGGGGCAATTGAGGGATTGGAACGTCAGTCTGAGAGATGCGTGTAAAAAGGCAGGTCACACTGAAGGCCGACGCAGACATCAAGTCCTTCGATTAGTCTCCACTCAATTTATAGTAATTGCTGTAATCTTGGCTTCAGTTTAACGTTAAATCAAAAACTAAGCAGATTAATGTTTTTGAAGTAAATAGACGCTGAGTAGAATTTTTTTTCAAAAATTGCTAAGGAATCAAATAATAGTGATGACTGGCAAAAACTCAGCAATGGAACCAGTACCAGGAACCAAATCAATCACACTGCTCCGCAATGGCCTGTACCCCTCATTGAGGAACAAAGCCCACGGGGAAGACGTTGAGTCTCAGTCTAGGCTGACATTCCAGTGCAATGCTGGAGCTGCACTGTCAGAGGTACCATCCTTTGTACGAGATGTTAAACTGAGGTCACATCTGCCTTGGGTTGAAGGAATTCGCAGAGGTAGGATGGGGTGAGACCAGGAAGGATTTAAAGCTGAGGACAAGGATCTTGAATTCCATCCGCTGGGAGATGGGTAGCCCATGGAGTCAAGCAGGATTGACTCGCAGAGCCTGGTGCAGAGGAGGGCAGCAGCTGCAGGTTCTGGATAATTGACAACTTGTGTAGGGAAGTGCTGAGGAGTCTGGCGAGCAGAGCAATGGCGCAGTCAAGCATGAATGTGATGAAAGCATGAATGAGGGTCTCAGCAGCCTGAGAGGTAGTAGCAGCAATGAGCAATGTTACAGAAGCTGGGAAAAGGTGAGCAGGTAAGAGTCGCCCTCCAGATGAGACAATAAACCAAAGTCTCCTGTCTGTTTAAATGGATGTTAAAGATCCCTTTATTCAAAAAGATAAGAGATTTCTCCTGGTGTCCTGGCCAACAATCCCCCAAATAAAATTGGTCACTTACTCCATGATTGTTTGTTGGACATTGCAGTGTGCAAATTAGCTGCTATGTTTCACCCACAAAATGGGGAGGAGAAAACTCAATTCAATACAAATTGACATTTATATAGCACCTTTAACATCGGATGTCCCAAAGCACCGGACAGTTCAGGGTAGAGGGCCGAGGGTGTGGCAGGTCGAGGGGGGTGGGGGGATGATGTCCGAAAGCACAGTCAAAGAGTAAGGTCTTGATAGTGACCTTGAAAGAGTCAAGTACAGGGGCTCTGGAATAGAGTCCCAGAGAGAGGGGCAGAAAGGTTGAAAGCCGACCCCTGGTGGTGGGGCTGGCAGGACAAGCACATGGCGCTGACTGGAGGGAGCAGGCGGGTCGGTAGAGTTTGAGAAGGTCGCTTGGGTGGGGCAAGTCCATGGAGGGTTTTAAAGGTGAGGGCAATGATCCTGAACTCACACAAATAGACCCACCAGAAACTAACTTCTGTTTTTTAGTATTTTTCTTTTTTTTTTGGTCTGACACATGCGGAAACCCATCACCATGCTTAAGAGTATCCAAACCAAGCTGAGAATTCCGTGCATCCCCACCTACACATTAGATTTGGAGAACAACACAAAAGAAGGGAAGATGGCTGGGGAGCAAGATGGACTGGCTGTAAACTTGTGAGCCTATCACTAAGTTAGAGGGTAAAGCTCCCCCGTTCGGTGAGGATTGCACTTCTCAGTCCCAACAATGGGTCCAGCAGCCGTAGACAAGCATCAGCTTGAGAGCATCTTACCTGGGACTGAAGCAGCTATTCCTCCGTGTCCTGAAGAAGGAGAGACTTTGTGAGGGCGAGGGAGAGGTCCAGGGCGAGGCCAAGGAGGTGCTCCTCTTCACCAGTTTGTAGCGGGTATTGATGAATCGTGAGGTTGAGGGGCTCTTTACAGAAAGCAGGGAGCTCAGACCTACACAAAAACCCGAAGAGTATTTATGTAATAACAGTTTCAGCAGGAAAAAATTCTACAAGAAATCCACAATCACTGGTTATCAGCTTCTAACTCTGCCCTAGGCTCCTGCATTCCCAAAGGCACATCCTCCTCTTAGTGAGGGCTTGCACCTTTATTACATACAACAGTGTGAGCTCCCTGTTATCAGCCAGCAACACATCACAGCCACACAGGTCAGAGCTCGGGATTAATCCATCTCATTAGATTCTCCTAATTAAACCCATTGCTGGGCTGAGAAAGGAAAGCAATGCTGGCTTTATGAGCGCAGTTTATTGGAGGAAGGGGACCACAATGTTTGGAACTAGGTAAAACAGCACCCGCTGACACGGCATATATCACAGTTCGGAGAAATGTTTTCACACACAGAGTATGGAATGTACTGCCGGGAGCGGTGGTCGAGGCAGAATCTATATTGGCTTCAAGAGGAACTAGACAGGTACTCTAAATAGTGTCAGCTACAGGGGTGTGGGGAAAGGGCAAGGAAACGAGGACTGAAAGGATTGCCCTTTAAAAGAGAGGTACAGTCACAATGGGCTGAATGGCCAGCTCCCGTGCTGTACATTTCTACGGTTCTATGGTACTGTACTGGCCGACAACCCAAGTCAGCCCAAGTCCAGACAAGAGACTTGAACCCAAACCTTTTTGAGTGGAAGGCGAGAGGTCTATCCACTGAGCCAGATACCGAACAACACAAGCAGCAAACGAAAAGCTTAGAATGAAGGAAAGGTGGGAAATGTCTGGGTTGCCTTTTCATTTGGCTCAAATTTTCTAACAGAATCAAAACACTTTGGAACAAATAGACTGGTAGCTCTGTACCCAAGTCTCAGAGAATTACAGAAAAAGGAGCTCACAGATTTATGCTTCATTATAGGCTGGAGGTTTGGGGATCAACTCAGCCCTGCTGTCCCCCTGTTCAGATGAAACCGATTAGCTTAAAGAAAAGCACAAATCACCCGGAGCTCGCTGACAGTGCACTGACATCCTGCTGGCTGGGAATGGGTTAAATTCTCAAACAGCAAGGATCTAATGCGCAAGTTGCCCCTTAATGCAGTAACGCATTTGCACTCCAGGGAGATGATGAATAGGTGCTGTCAAAAATCCATGTACAGTATAGCCCAGGACCCGTGTAACACTGCTTTGCAACTCTCCTTCCTGTAATATGCCACTTAATGGCAATGCAGTTGGACAAGACAAAGGCACTCGGAGCACCTGTCAAAGGCCTATTAAGGGGAAGATTGAGATCCAACTACATTCAAACTTACTCAAGCAATGCAGAGGACTAGTTGTTGATAATTATTGCTAGAGATCAATCGATCGGTCTCTGACATTTTACCTACCTGCACAAAATGATAGTGCTTTGCAATCTGACAGTCGCAATAGATTACTTGTACCGAGCAGGGAACTGCACCGCACTGGAGGCAAGGCAGCTGTATAACTAAACTGGATGGCAATGGAGTCCTGTCTATACTGCGCTCAGCTGACACACAACTTGGGCAGAGAACCGTGGATTTTGGCTTCGCCATTTGCACTGTGGGGAGGGGCAGGGAGGGGGGAGGAGAGAGCGCAGAGAGAAGCTTAAAGACCTTTCTAATCTTTCAACGAGAGCAAAGTCTCAGGCTTGAGCAGAGGGGAGGGCTGTCCTGGCACAACTGTATCACAACCAGCAAGTAGCTCCCAGCCCTGAAATTGTTGGTACAACAAGGCTTCTAGGCCAGGGTCGAACATGGTAAGAAGAATCCTTGCATTTGATACAGTGCCTTCAACACTAAAACGTCTTCGCGCTTTGTGGGCAATTGCTGTCAAGCGCAGTGACTGTGGATTTGTAGGGAAACATGGCAGTCAGTTTGCACACAGCAATTTCTCACAAACCGTCATGCAGTGAATGACTATTTTATGAGAATTGTCGGCCCAGGATACCGTATCCAGTAGTGCCGAGGGATCAGCCACTGAGACTCTGGAACTCTCTGCCTCAATCCCTCTGCCTCACCCCCTCCTTGCCCACCCGCAGATCTTCCTCTCCATCCGTGCCTTCAGTCACCTCCCCTCTCACCACTGTTAAACGCTGCGAGACCCCGCATGAAAGGTGCTATGTAAACGCAACTTATCTTTGTTGACAGTTTCCCTCCAGGCTCCCCCACTCACATATCCCTGCTCCATTCACACAACATACCACGGCGCTTGTTCATCAACTAAGTTTAAAACCAAAGTCATCTCAGGGACACTGTGTACCCTTCCAGGATGTGAGACACAGGTCCTGCGCCTCACAGGGCACAGATCAGTTTCCCTTTTGGGGAAGAAACAAGGAAGAGGTTTCAGGTTGGGGGGCGGGAGGGTTGAGTGGGAGGGGCTGCAGGTGGCAGGAGCGAGCGACAGAACCGGACACTTGGCATGTGCCAACTTTGTAATGGAACCACACAAAAAAATCGCTTGAGCAGCTGCCACCTGCTTAATGAGTCTCTGAGGAGACCAACTGACCAGAGCGAGCGAGCTAAATATCAGCTACTGGAGGTATGTGTGTGTGTGTGTGTGTGTGAGAGAGAGAGGGGGAGTGTGGAGACAGCAAGAGCAATGACAGATTAAAGCTCAGGATTAATTTCCCCAGCAAGTGGACAAGTCGTAGCTTGTGCTGAACATCAGCACAGCCCATCAATCTCTCCGGCTGAATCCCTTTCTATTGCTTCTGTTCACAGTCCATTTCCAGCTGATTACTTCCCACACCTCCAGTGCTTTATTTACCAGCTGTACCTCCATCAGCCACTACATTAAGTACACTCGCTCTAACAAATGAACGCCCATCCCCATCTCTCATCACCTGGCCACGAGGTAAAGCTGCTGCTGCCTCTGTGTGTCGCTGCTTTCCACCCAAAGCTTCCAAATAAGTTTGACTTTTATTTACAGGATTTTTCAATCATTTATTTTATCGAGGGTAAGTTATAGTTAGTGATTAAGGAAAAATATTTTGCTTTTTTCATCACCTTAAAACGTGGCAAAGCACTTTGTAACAATTATTATCATATAGTGACTGTTTTGTAAGCCAAACATGGCAGCCGTTTTGCTCAGAGCAATCTGACACAAACAGCCATGACATTAATGACCAATTATTAATAATTAGTATCTTTCATGTCTCAAAGAACTTCAAAGGACTCGCTGTAAAGTGACAATAATGCTTCTTGAAATGAAACATTAAACCAAAGTCCTGTCTCTGCCTGTTCAGGTGGATGTTAAAGATCCTGTGACGCTATTCAAATAGAAGGGAGTTTCTCTCTCCTGGTGTCCTGGCCAATAATCCCCAGATTAAAAAAAATTGGTCATTCACTTCGTGGCTGTTTGTGGGTCTGGGACCAAATTGGCTGCTGTATTTGCCTACAGACCTCCTGACGTGAAAGGCACTGAATCACATTCTAAATTATTGTTTCTGTAAATATGGGATGTTGTGGTGCACAATTTGGCTTGTCTATTTACCTGCAAGTACATAGTCACTACATTTGGCAGCAACTCCATGTGAGGTGCTTTATGTTGAGGTGTTGTGACATGTTAAGGCTGTATTATCACATGTGTCAGTATCCCATTGTCTTCACATTTCTAAGCAATTCAGTGCTTTTAGCTGTATAACCTTCCCACGCTGCCACCTGTACATCTTGATAAATGATCTGAAAGCTCATAATGGTAATTGCCAAAGGCGTTTCTACCTACTTCAGTGGGTGTTAAAGATCGGATGAGACTAGTGGAAGAGGAGCGACATTGTGACACTATTTAAAACGAAAAGGGAGCTTCTCTCTCCTGGTATCCTGGCCAATAATCTGACAGTTAATTGGTCACTCACTCCCTGGCTGTCCGGGAAACACTGCTGTGTGCTAATTGGCTGCTAAGTTCTTCCACTAAGCTCACAGTCACTCGATTTAACAGTAACTACAGTAGCATGAAGCGCTGTGAGTGTATTTGAAATGATGAAGCATTGTATTGAACAACAACTTTGATTTATATAGCGCTCTCCATGCCGGACGGCGTCTCAGAGCGCTTCGTATTGAATGTAAGTATTAAATATAAGTATTACCATTATTGTTAAAGATTACAAGCGATTAGTCTATTCAAGAGTGAAACCCCATCATAAGAGAACTCGACTATAAAATAGAGGAAGTCCTGCTGTGCAGAGCACTGGTCAAACCTCATTGTGTTCAGTTTAGGGCACCCAACCTTAGGAAGGCTATATTGGGCTGGGAGGACATCAGCCAAAATGCCCTCAAACCAACATGCCTATCATGAGAGCTGGGTAAATGTAAATTATATTCTCTGACGTGAGCAGGTTAAGGGTGATCTGAGAGGTTTGAAATAATAAAGCGTCTTAACAATTACATACAGGACAATACGTCCCCCTAACAGGGAATCCCGAACAAGAGGATCCAATCTGAAAATGAGAGCTGAGACAGGTCAATGTAGCGTCAGGAACCTGTTTCACAGCTTGGGGCAGAGACTGTGCACTGGCTGCTCCTGAGAGATCAGATATACTGATTTAAATGGGATGTTTAACAGGAAAGTAGGGATATTAAGTGACATTGAGAAAAGGGCAGAATTAAAAATGTACAACATGTATTGGCGGATTGCTTTTCCAGGGGTAATAATCCCTTAATAATAATAATTTGGTGACTTAATCCACAACCGTTTGTGGGACACTGCTGTGCACAATTGGTTGCAGTGTTTCAACCATAAAGTATACAGTCAATTCACTTTACAGTATATTCTATGAAGCGCTTTGAGACGTCTCAAAGGCGTGATAAGGCGCTATTTCAAATGCAAGGATTATTATTATTATTTATACTACAGACTTCAAGCAGCTAGTGCCTCACAGCGCTCAACAGCAGCGTGGCTTGATGATGAGCCTGGTGACCGAAAGCACGGTCGAAGATGAAAGTCTGAATACGATGAGGCATATTGCCTGAAAGCACGGCCACTGATGGTGG